CATGGAGTTTTCAATATTAAAACCTGGGGGATTGGGGCACCTGAGCAGCTCAGTTGGTTAAGCGTCCAACTTCGGCTCAGGTCATGATCTCATGGTTTGTGGGTTCGAGCCCCGCATCGGGCTCTGTGCTGACAGCTCAGAGCCTGGAGCCTGCTTCGGATTCTGTGTCTCCCTCTCTCTTTTTGCCCCTCCCCCACTCACACTCTGTCCCTCTCTCAAAAATAAACATTAAAAAAATTTTTAAATGGGGGGCGGTCTTGGGGGGGGACCAATGTGAGTTGGACACCCTGCTGAAAAGTGACCAAGCAACACAGGGGAAAGAGCTAGTTACTGTGATGTGAACAGCATGAGCTAAGTGAGGTGCAGTCAGTCAGAAAGTGTTTCCTGGAGAAGGTGCATTTCAGCTTCATTGAAGGAGGCCACGGGCTTTGGGGAGGACCTGCTGCGTGTGGAGGGGTCATGCATGGGCAAACCGCCCTGTGGTAGAACAGCCCTGGACCCTGGGATGGAGACCGGGGATCCCACAGGGTCAGGGGAGACCCGGGAGGGTTTTACGTAAGGGGCACTTGCTAGCTGAGTCTGAAATCTGGGGAGCAAAATTGGGCCTTCCAGGCGGGCTTCTCAGTGCCCCCAGTGTGAGCAGGGGCTCTGACCTGCACACTTGCACACGCTTTCCTTGTAAGAGGTGCTGGGGGATGGACACAGAGCCAGTTACAAGCCAGTCCTTGCCCACTGGGTGTTCCAAGCTACTGGGTGTGCTCCCCAGACAGGAACACAGTGCAACATGTCAGGGGCAGTGGCACTTAGCCAAGCCAGGTACCGTACAGCATCTCATCTCCCCATGACAACCTCTGAAGCAGGTGTCCTGACTCTCACTTCACAGGTCAGAACACTGAGGCTGAGTGACACTGCCCAGAGTCCCCCCAGACGGGGAAGGTGCTAGGCTCTCAATGCAGGCAGGCAGATGGCAGGGCTGCTCTTTTTTTTTTTTTTTTTTTTTTTTTTTTTTAATTAAAAACCTGTATTTATTTTTATTTTTTATTTAAAAAAATTTTTTTTAACATTTATTTATTATTGAGAGACACAGAGACACAGAGCATGAGCATGGGAGGGGCCGAGAGATGGAGAGGCACAGAATCTGAAGCAGGCTCCAGGCTCTGAGCCATCAGCACAGAGCCCAACGCGGGGCTTGAACTCACAAACCGCAAGATCATGACCTGAGCCGAAGTCTGACGCTTAACTGACTGAGCCACCCAGGTGCCCCAATTTTTTATTTTTTTTAAGTTCATTTTTATTTATTTTTGAGAGAGAGAGAACAAGCGAGGGAGGGGCAGAGAGAGAGGGAGACAGAATCCCAAGCAGGTTCTGCACTGTCAGCATGGAGCCCGATGTGGGGCTTGAACTGCCAAACTGTGAGATCATGACCTGAGTGGAATTCAAGAGTCAGATTTCCTGACTGGTAGGTGAGCCACCTGCGCCCCCACCTCCCACCCCTCAAATGTATTTTAATCGAAGTATAGTTGATACACAATGCTGCATTAGTTTCAGGCATTCAACATAGTGATTCTCCCCCACCCAGTGTGTATGTTACGCTGTTATGTTTCCCCCTAGGGTAGCTACCGTCTGTCACCGTGCCTGGCTTTCACAGCACCGTTGACTGTGTTGCCTGTGCTGTACGTTTCATCCCTGTGACTTATTCATTAGATAACTGGAAACCTATGCCTCCCACTCCCCTTCACCCATTTTACCCATCCCTCCACCCTCTCCTCTCTGGCAACCATGAGCTTATTCTGCGTATTTATGGGTCAGAGCTGCTCTTAGGTACCACGCTAGGCTGTTCACTCAATAGTCCTTTCTTGGACACTGACACGTTCCAGGCACAGACTCAACAGTAGGAACATAGGTGTGAGCAGGACAGACATGAGCCCTACGCTCAAGGACATACCAGTCTAATGTAGGAGGGTTGTGGAGTGGAGAGGAAGAGAGTTTACAGTTTCTAAGCCTCTGATAGTGTAAGAAACTGGGGGTGGAGGGCGTGGTGTACAAAGAGCTGCACCCAACTCAGCCTGGAGGAGGAGGTGTCCAAAGTGCTGTCTGAAGGACAGAAGGAGCTGCCAGGTGGGCAAGGGGTAGGTGGCAGGCAAGAGAGGCCCAGGTGCAGAGAGCCCCATGGGCAAGGCCCGGAGGGCGGAGAGAGTGTCCCTTTGGGGACAGGTGAGTTTGGGAAGACAGGCTTGTGTGTTAAGCGTGGAGAGCTGATGAGCCCAGAGCCAGGGCGCCTCGGAAGGCTCCAGCCGGGCCTGCAGGCAGGCAGTTTTTCATGGTGCTGTCCACTCACCTCCCCCTCCTTCCATCAGTCCCACGGGATAGGTATTTCCATGCACATTTCTGGGCCTACCTCACACCTGATCAAACTGGGGCTGGGGCCTAGGAATCAACAATTTAATTAAAAAAAACTTTTTTACGTTTATCTATTTTTGAGAGAGAGAGAGAGAGAGAGAGAGAGACAGCAAAAGTGGGGGAAGTTGCAGAGAAAGAGAGGGAGACACAGAATTCAAAGCAGGCTCCAGGCTCTGAGCTGCCAGCACAGAGCCTGATGTGGGGCTCGAACCCATGAGCTGTGAGACCACATCCTAAGCAGAAGTCAGTTGCTTAACCAACTGAGCCACGCAGGTGCCCCAGGAATCAACAATTTTAAACAGACTCCCCCCCCCACCCCCAGGGGATTCAGAAGCCCACTGCTCTAAGTAGGTTGACTTCACTGAAAAGTTTTAGGCAAGCAGCCCATTTTGGACAGGAAAGTCTCTCTGCCTGTAGGGTAGACAGCGGAGCGGGGAGGCAGGACTAGGTGGCCAGGAGAGCAATGGAGAGCTGCGGATGTGGCAGCGGGGCATAGGAGGGGAGGATGACTGACCGACTGGGCAGGGTTGAGGGGAGCCGGGGAGGAGCCCCAGGTTCTAGCTTGGGCTCTGGGTGGATGGGATGGGAGGGAACAGAGGAGCAGAAGGGGAGAGTTTGGGGGGAATGGGGAATTGACTTCCATCTGGATGGGTTTGAGGTGTCTGCAGTGTCATCCAGGGGGTCAGGTTTGGAGGGGACAGTCCGGGCAGGGGAGAGAGTGGAACAGCAGCAGGTCCATGGGAATCTGAGGTCACAGGAGGGAGTGGCTGCAGCTTCCCCAGGGAATGTGTGTCTGGGAGAGGGGAGGGGGTCCCACATTGGAAGAACCTCAGAGAATGTTTTCATTGGGGGCAGGGGCAGAAGAGAAGAAGCCTGAGAAAGAACAGCCAGAGGGGGAGGGGGGAGTTGAGTTAGAGAAGAGAGAGTTCTCTGAAGACAAGGTCGGCCATGAGAGATCTCAGTAAACACACCAGCAGGTCTAGCACTGGGGAGCTGGCCTTGGACTTGCATGAGGTGGTGTGACCAGGAGGGAAGGCTCCATAGCAGGAAAGAAGGATGAAAGATGAAAAGCCAGGTTGTGTATGATACGGACTGCCAGGCTGAGCAGTTTGCACTCTGTCCCTTGGTGGTGGGCAGGCAGGGCAGGTTTGTGGGCAAGGCGATTGCATGCAGCAGTAACGGTAAAAGGCAGCTTTTTTTTTCTTAATGTTTATTCATTTATTTTTGAGAGAGAGAGGGAGAGCACAAGTGGAGGAGGGGCAGAGAGAGAGAAGGAGACACAGAATCAAAGCAGCCTCCAGTCTCTTGAACTCTCAGCACAGAGCCCGACGCGGGGCTTGAACCCACAGAACTGTGAGATCCTGACCTGAGCCAAAGTCGGACATTTAACTGGCTGAGCCACCCAGGTGCTCCTCAAAGGGTGGCTTTTTGATTGAACGCTCACAGGGGTCAACTGCGGGGCTAAGGGCTTCGGGTCTCGCTCATTTGATCACAAGCATCACCCAGAAGAGCTGTTCTTTTGTAGGAGAAGTTAAGAAACTTCGCTGTGGGACAGAGCCAGACCGCGGAGGGGCTAGGGTTGGTCCCTGCGGAGTGGAGACAGCATCAGTGGGGCGTGAGGGAGGTGGTTCGGGCACTGCCTGTGGCTGGCCTGGATGGGGACAGTAGGAGGCACATGTAGCCACACACTGTAGACAAAGTCCTCAGACACTTAGACCAAGCAGACGTGCAGGGCTGACCTCTGCCAGCGAAACAGCAGCAGCAGCAGCAGCAAACGGCACGTGGTCTCTATTTCATGTTCGCCAGGTAGAAACACGCAAGAATGTTAAAGCGTGGGAGGAAGACACGAGGAGCCTCCAGACATAGACCAAACACACATCTGGTGTTTACGTGAAAGCATGCAGGGAAGCCGTGCGGTTTCAAGGACTGTTAAGCAATTACAGTGGGTCTGTTCCCTAACTGGCTCCTGGGCGATCACGGGGCTCTGTTCTCATAGTGCTATCGCACTCGACAGCCTTGAGACCCGAACATCGCTGACGTTTCAGCAATTACACCATTCACTTTCCTGGGGCCTTACAGTTCTCCAGAAATAACTCCCCCGGCACGTTCGGACAGGTGGGTGGTGGGGAGCCTGGACTTGGGCACAGGCAGTGGGTGGAGGGCAAGAGGGGATTTGGACAAAGGTGAGGAGGTGAGTGTGAGCCTTTGTAGGGGTGAGGGCGACTGGCGGGCAGGAGCTCATTTGGCTGGAGTCCCATTGAATCGGGAGCATCACAGCAAGAGCCTCGGATGGGGGTGCCCCAAGGCAGGGCAGTGTCATCCATGGGAGCCCCAACCTCTTGACTCCAAACCCGCTGTGGCCCAGCATCTCTCACGGTCCTGACCTGGATGCTTCCCAACACCCCCGAGAGGGGGCTGTTATCTGTCCCAGTTTGCAGAGGAAGAATCTGACACCCAGGCAGATCTCAGGACTGGCCAGGGCCGTGTGACTGGTCGGTGGCAGAGCCAGACCCGACTTGTCTGCCCAACCGCAACCCTTTGCTTTCCCCGTGGCCCCTGTAGGTGCTCCAGAGGGCAGGCCACGTGGGACCACCGTATAAGTGAGCTCGTTTTTTCTAAGACCGAGAGTGAGCCGCTTCGATCTCCTTCTCCCTTCCACATCCCTCCCTCCCATGTCTTGTGGACCCCTTTTCCAACAGGATGGTTGTGGAGGCTAGAGCTAAGGCGGCTCTCAAGTTCAAAGCGTAGTTCTCAGCTCATCAGACTGGCTGAGCATTTCTAGAAGTATGGGAGGGTTCAAAGGCAGGGCTGCGTGTCATGCCTGAGCCAAGTGGGTGATGAAGCTCCCCGGCCGCAACTTCAGTGGCGGGAGAGCTGCCTCCTTCCTCCCCTCGCGATGGGCTGGCAGTCCCGAGGGCTGACCTCGGCTGCCCGTGCCACCATGCTGCTGCCCCAGTCCTCTTGTCCGGGTCTCCAGGCTGCTGGGGAGTTGGGGGCCCCTCTTTCTCCTTGTGTCCACCCCCCGCTGAGCTGGGCTCTCCTGCCCCATCGGGGATGGGAGGAGCCCTAGGGCCCAGCCTCTCCCTCAGCCCCACCGACTGTCGCCCTCTCCCCAGCACCACCCCCAGGCCCACGTGGACATCTACGAGAAGCAGCTTGTGCCCTTCGGCCTGGTGCGCTTTGGCGTGGCGCCCGACCACCCCGAGGTGAAGGTGGGTCTCTCTGGGCCCGAGGAGGGGGTTTGGAGACGGGTTAAGGTGAGGAGGGAAAGGGGGCTCCCTGGCTGCATGGAATGACCCCGGGTGCTCTGTGTGGATGTCACACAGGTTCCCGCCTGGGGACATTGTGAGGCGAGGGTGGCTCAGGCATGGTTCCTGAAGTGCCCGGCCCCTAACCCCTTCCCCTCTGGGGCCTGTTGCAGAATGTCATCAACACCTTTACCCAGACGGCTCGCTCGGCCCGATGTGCCTTCCGTGGCAATGTGGTGGTGGGCAGGGACGTGGCTGTGCCGGAGCTCCGGGCGGCCTACCACGCTGTGGTGCTGGTGAGTGCCCACGGGTGGGGGGCAGGGTGGGCAGGGGATTGGGGCAGGGCGGCCGCTGGCCGAGGGATGGAAGGTGGTAGGGGTGAGGCCCAAGCCACTGGGCAGGGGAGCTGGGAGGAGGGCTACCAGGGTCTGCCTGGCCCCTTAGCTGGTGCCAAGCACTCTGGGTCTTTTCTCAGAGCTATGGGGCAGAGGACCATCGGGCCCTGGAAATTCCTGGTGAGGAGCTGCCTGGGGTGTTCTCGGCCCGGGCCTTTGTGGGCTGGTACAATGGGCTTCCTGAGAACAGGGAGGTGAGTTTGGGGAGCACTCCTGCTACTTCTTCCTCCCCACCCCTCAGCCAGCTCTTGGGTGCCGCAGCTGGGGGGCGAGGGAGCCGCTGTCCAAAACTGGGAGGTCCCCAGTGAGATGAGATGTGAAGCATCAGGCTGCCTGAGGGGGGAGGTCAGCCAGGGAAGGCCTCTGGGAGAAGGCGGGGCTGGGTAGGAGAGGAGGGGCTTCCTCTGAGGCTCAGGTGGGGTGGGCTTTCTGAGTGTAGGGAAGCCTGGGGGCTCGACTGGGGATTGGGCATGAGCTGAGATGAGACTGACCGGGGCCAAAGCTAGGGGAGCCCTACCCGGACCTCTCCCTACTAGCTGGCACCAGACCTGAGCTGTGACACAGCCGTGATTCTGGGGCAAGGGAATGTGGCTCTGGATGTGGCCCGGATCCTGCTGACCCCACCTGAGCACCTGGAGGTGAGTGGGTAGGTCAGGGGCTGGAGGCGGGGTGGGGGGTGGGGGGTGTGGGGAGGCTGGGGACACACTGAGGAGAGGGTGCCACTGCCTGCAGGGTTCAGGCCTCATCCTCCAAACTGAGCTCAGTGCCTCTGTTTCCCTATGGTGCCAGGCAGAAGCCTTCCGAAAGGCAGCCCGTGAGCTTTGCCTCATACTGTTTCCGCTTTGCTTTCTGCACTCTAGCTACGTGGGCCCTAAAAAACAAACAAACAAACAAACAAACAAACAAACACCTATTCAGTGTGTACATCACTCCCCCTGCCAGTTAACCTGTGTTCATCTTTTAGTTCTTGGCTCAGCTGTCCCTTCCTCCAGGAAGCCCTCCAGTACTGCCTTAATAGGTCTGTTTCCCTATAATACCCTCTCATAGACTTGTCTACTTCTGTTTCAAGGCACGTTACCGCCATGACAATTTTATACTTATTAGTGAACATTTGGTAAGTGTCACTCTCTCTTACCAAATCAGAAGCTCTGTGAGGGCCAGCACCGTGTCTCTTTTGCTTACCACTGACACCCCACCCCCATGCCCCTTGCCTAGTGCCTGGCCCAAGCAAAACACTGAGTGGACACTTGTTGAACGAAAGAGCAGGAAGGAGCCTGGCTGGCTACTAGTTGGAGCCGTTTGCAGAATTGGAGGCAGTGCTCCATCTGGCCACCAGGTGGGGCAGTGGTGCCGTTTCAGGCTGCAGAGCTTCTCCCCACTGAGGGTAGGGAAACAGCCAAATGAAAAGGCCCCTTGCCTGGTCAGTGCCCGATGACTTTAAGCCCTCCTTTTGTGCCAGAAAACGGACATCACAGAGGCTGCCCTGGGGGTACTGAGGCAGAGTCGGGTGAAGACGGTGTGGATAGTGGGCCGACGCGGACCCCTGCAAGTAGCCTTCACCATTAAGGTGCCGGGCCCAGAGGGAGAGGGGTCAGGGTCCCAAATAGATGGTCTGCCCTTGGGAGGTGTGGCAGGACTGAGCCCCCGAGAATGGCTCCTGCCTACGGTGGAAGAGGGGGAGCCTGGCAGGGCCCTGGGGCCTAGTGCCTTCTGTGGTGGCGGGTGGGGTGTCTCCCCTGTGGTCTGGTCTCTGGGGTGGGCTCCAGAGTGGACAGTGCTCTGGGCCTGAACTCCTCCCCTACCTCCCATCCCCAAGGAGCTTCGGGAGATGATTCAGTTACCAGGAACCCGGCCCATTTTGGATCCTGCGGATTTCTTGGGCCTTCAGGACAGAATCAAGGGTGAGGGGCCCTGACCTGGCCCCCCAGCTCTCTAGGGAGGGGATGGTCTAGGTCAGACAGGGCTCGGGGGAGAGCACTGGGGGCAAGGGCTGTAACCCAGGGCCAGGCCTGAGATGTTCTCATTGCTGACAGAGGTCCCCCGCCCGAGGAAGAGGCTCACAGAACTGCTGCTTCGAACAGCCACGGAGAAGCCAGGGACAGAGGACGCTGCCCGCCAGGCACCAGCCTCCCGCGCCTGGGGCCTCCGCTTTTTCCGAAGCCCCCAGCAGGTGCTGCCATCACCAGACGGGCGACGGGCAGCAGGCATTCGCCTGGCAGTCACCAGACTGGAGGCAAGTCTCATGTTACTCAAAGATACCCGTCTTCTCAAGTCTCCCCACCCCAGCCCGGTGTTGCCCACGCTCTCCTCAACAGGGTGTCGGTGAGGCTGCCCGGGCAGTGCCCACTGGAGACACGGAAGACCTCCCTTGTGGGCTGGTACTGAGCAGCGTTGGGTATAAGAGCCGTCCCATCGACCCCAGTGTGCCCTTTGACCCCAAGCTTGGGGTCATCCCCAATATGGAAGGCCGGGTTGTAGATGTGCCAGGTGAGAGGATGCTGAAATCTGGGCACGAAATCATGGTGGGGGATGGAGAGGCTGGCGTCACCTGGGGCCGTTCATTCATTCATTCGGCCAGTGACATGCACTAAGAAACCGCTCTGAGCCAGGACGCTGTTCCGGGATGCTGTCCTGGGACCCAGCCACTCTCCTCCTGGCTCTAGCTAGGAGGGAGGTTCTCAGTCTAGCCGACATGCCCACATATGCCTGGTGATCTAGTCGGTCACTTGACTGAGGTGTGCTTTGGGCTAGGCCCCTGTGCTTGGTGCTGGGACTAGAGAGGAAACCACAGCCCCTGTCCTAAAGGAGCCTCCAGTCTGATTAAATACCCATTCATTCATTCTGCTAGTATTTTTTTTTAATTTGTTTTACATTTATTTATTTTTGATGGAGAGAGAGCATAAGCGGGGGAGGGGCAGAGAGAGAGGGAGACACAGAATCTGAAGCAGGGTCCAGGCTCCGAGCTGTCAGCACAGAGCCCAGCGTGGGGCTTGAACCCACGAACTGCGAGATCATGACCTGAGCTGAAGTCAGACGCTCAACCGACTGAGGCACCCAGGCGCCCCATTCTGCTAGTATTTAGAAGGGCCTGCTAAGACTGGAGGCGGGCCAAGACCCATCTCCTACCCTCAGGGAGCTCCTGGTCGACAGGGAGATTGAGATGGAAGGGGTGGTGTGATATGAACAGGTTGAGAAGAGTCCAAGGCTGCGGGCCAGCGCGGGTATGCTCGGGGTGTGCACGCGTGTGTATGCACAGATGTGTGCCCTGGGGGCTTAGACTTGCCAGAAGTATCCAGCTACCTGTCCTTTCCTGACCCTTTGTTATCCCCTGCCAGGCCTCTACTGCAGTGGCTGGGTGAAGCGGGGGCCCACAGGCGTCATCGCCACCACCATGACTGACAGCTTCCTCACTGGCCAGATGCTGTTGCAGGACCTGAAGGCTGGGCTGCTGCCACCGGGTCCCAGGCCTGGCTATGCAGCCATCGAGGCCCTGCTCAGCAGCCGAGGTCTGGGCCCCATGTGAGCTCTTGGGAGGTGTGGTGGGCAGCCCTGGGCCTTTCCGCTGCTTGGGAAGGGTGCTCTGGGCTGGAGGTGGGGCTGGAGGAGGAGGTGGAGGCAGTGACTTCTCTTCCCTGTGCCTCAGGGGTCCGGCCTGTCTCTTTCTCGGACTGGGAGAAGCTGGATGCCGAGGAAGTGTCCCGGGGCAAGGGTGCTGGGAAGCCCCGGGAGAAGCTGCTGGATCCTCAGGAGATGCTGGGGCTGCTGGGGCGCTGAGTCTAGATCCCAGCCTGGCAGGGACGGAAGGCATGCTGTGCAGGGGAGAGGGGCCTGGGTCAGCCAGAGGGACTCTGCGCCACAGCTGTGTCACCTGCCTGCCCTGGCACGGGGCCTTGGCCGCCTCTTTTCCAGGGCCCTCTGTGTGCTTTCCCCTGGCGAAAGGTCACCCTCGCCAGAGATAACTTTAGGGGTGGGTGGAAGTGCAGGCTGACTTTCCTCCCTCCCAGCTCTTTCCCGCCGGACCGTGGAGGGTCACCAGGTCAGGAATGTACTGGAAATAAAACAGCTGTGACGGAGGGCCAGTGGTTGGTGTGCAGCTTCTTTTGGGGCCCGGGGTCACCTTCCAGCCACGGCTCCCCGCCTGTCACCAGGTGGCGCTGCAGAGCCAGCTCCCTGCTCTGGGGACTCTTGGGGGCCAGGGTGTTTGGCAGTCAGGCCTGGAACCCACTGTCCCTCTCGTGGCTTGGCTCTGCTGCTGCGGCCTGCCTGCCTTCTGCTCACACCTCAGGCACCCTGGGACCCCATCGTGCCTGCTCCGTGGGTCCCTCGGGCCAGTTCCCTTTCTGGTTAGCCCCCCGTAGAACCAAAACAAGAAGAGAAAAAGTGGGAGCGAGGAGTCAGGCAGCAGCTCGCCTCAGGCCCGCCTTGTGGCCCAGAGGGTCCAACCTGTCTTGGTGTCCAGCCACAGGGACAAGCCTTTTAAAAACAGCACCTCAGTCTCTGTAGTACTTTGCAGTTTATGAGGCGTGTTCACCGTCTTTTGTGCCAGTCCCCAAGAGGCTGGTCTCACTTTAGAGAGCGAGGGATCCTCGAACGAACTGGCCCAAGGTCACACAGCTAGTGAGCTGCGGGCTCGAACCCAGGGCTCCAGGCGGGCTGTTGGTTTCTCCGAGGCCGCACTTGGCCCCAAGTGTCGGGTCTGGGGACGCAGTCCCGGAGAGGGGAGAAGGGACCCAGGCGT